TCACTCCTGATTGGCTATCGCAGTTCTTTCCTATTTCCCGTCATGCACTACTTGGCTAAATGATCTGAATAACTAAAAAAAATGCAGACATTTCCCTGTAACAGTGTGACTAAATGTGTGCCAAGCTGCCTCCCTTAAAGCAGAATCGTTTCAATTTCAAATAGATAAACTTTGTTTCTGCTTGTTTGACCAGAGGGTGGCGCTGTCACTTCTCTTTAGTGACTTTGTGTTCATTTCCTGCCGGATTCAAATCATATTTTTTTTGCGCATATACCTTTGAAGTTGCTTCTTTGACATTTTAATTTGGATTAATTTGGAAAGTTTTCTCTTGAATTAACATCAACTAACTCTGCACATATTTAGTTAAAATGCTGTCAAACTGGCAAGTATTCCAATAAAATGCACTAGTGCTGTCATCAAAGTCTATCTCCCAGCCCTAGAGGAGATTTTCTTTATTCATCACTATATTATTAATGTTGTTGACACAGACCTCTATGCACACCAGTTATTCTTATCGCTTTTACCAATACCACATATGATGTTGCACATGATAATATTGTATATTAATAAGTTATTTTTGATTTTATAAGGTCATACTTCCACTGTAAACAATGCACTGTACTGTTAAAACTCATGAAACACAAGTTATAACATCCACATGTGAATATTACAAATAATAGACCTTCTGATATCTTCTTATATATTTTTTTTCTATGCGTTTTCTCAGTTTGCTGCTTTTTTACCACCAAAAGCTTGATACAAACTGCAAACAAATTTACATCAAGTGGAAACTTAATTAAGTGATATTTTCTTAAAACGTGACTGGTGGGCTTTCTGTTACCTGTTGCTGTGTGTTTTGCGAGTGTGAGAGTGGGGTTTTGTGTGGCTCTGTGTGAGAGAGAGATTAATGATGATGGTGTGCGTGACGTCAGGCCGTCTCCATCATCGCCATCTGCTCCTTATAGCGGACAAACACCGGCCGGCAGTGTGTGACACTGAGTTAATTTCACATCAGGGAGCACAAAAGCAAGACCGATAAACTCTCCCTGACACCCACTCTTGGACTTCTCCATCCTTTCATGCTGTCACCGATGAAAAATGTACAGGTGTGCTCAGAGAAAAGGCTTTTTCACTGTGAGGCCAGCAAAAGCAAACATGTCAGAAAGCATAGCTACAAACAAGTGTGTGAAACAGTAAAGGTCAGAACTCTTCATACAGCGCTGGCTGATGAAACAAAGGTAGAGAAAAATAAACACTAAAATTGAAAAATACATGTATTTGAGAAAAAATAGAGCTTTTAAAAACTGCAGTCAGGTCCGTATGATTTTTGAAAATTAAACATCTTTTCTCTAAACCACCTCAGTAGAGTTTATGTAGTTAATCAAAGATGTACAGACTAACACAATTTGACTGATAATTTGATTGTTTTTAATTCTTGGATGAAGTCTCACCATAAACTGTTTCCTTCACTGAAATGCTCTGCAGTCCTTAACTGCAGCCGCCATAAGCTGCTGCTCATTTGTGGTTTTCTCAGCATTCAGTTTTCGGTTTAATAACTGAGACGTATTCTCTATTTATATGACTCATAATTTATGGCCACTTATCATACCTCCAGATCTATTTTATGTCACACGCTCTTTGTCTTTCCACATCATTCATCATAATTTAGTTGTCTTCTGTGGTCTTTCGGACGTTCTTGGTGCTGCAGAGCATTCCTTCTTTTTGAAAATGAACCAGATAGTTGATTTGGTCACTTGTAAAGTTTTTGTCATCTCTTTTTCTTTTGGTTCATTTTGGATTTTAAACCTAACGATGGCCTGCTTCACTTGCATCAACGTCTCTCTGGACCTCACATCAAGAATTCCAGTAAACAGCTACCAAATGCAAGTTCTGCCTTTTGTATCAACTCTTTCTATATACTTAATGTATCATGAATTAGCAAAAGAGCAGATTTCACCTGGCCATTAAGCTGTTTCTCAGTCAATTGTCCCATTAAGTTTCAGCCTCTGAAAATGGGGACTGTGAATTAAAAACACCTGTAATTCGACCTGCTCTACCTCCTGAGCTATAACCACCCGATGTCTGCATTTATGTACCCAGTATAAATAAATAAATGACAGCACAGTGGAGAGCAGACAGGAAGAGACAGAATGGCGAGGACATACAGCAGAGGGCTGCAGGTCAAAGTCAAATCCGGGCCGCTGCATTCAGCCTTTAGTGACATATGGTTTCCTGCTCACACTGTTAGCTAAACTGGTGCCACTTAAAATTTAAGCCTAAATACATTTTTACAATCTCATGACCTGCACAATGAGGCAAATCCTTTTTTTCTCCTTCATTTTATCCATTTGTTAAGATCTCATACTCAAAATAATTTATGTAAAAAGGAAAATACTAATTTTACACACATTAAAAAAATGTTTGTGTAAATGAGTTTTTACAGACTGTAGCACAGGCAGATTTTACAGCAGCAATTTTGCCATGAAGTAACAGGTAAGCATTAATTAGGGGTTTGATATGAAAGCATCCAGGTGTGTGAACTATACTATAGACAGAATGAACTAAACTATTTCATCAGAATAGCTGCTGTAAGAAGGATGCTCTATATTTATTATCCATTTGTGGCACTTTTCCAGCATTTCCAGCATCTTCTTTTGTAAAGAAAGGCCTCTATGGTGTCTTATTTACTGTATCACCTCCTAAAGATATCGGGATGAAACCATAAACAGCTCAGACACGTTCTCACACACTTCCACTGACCCTGCTTAGCACTTCCCAGAACAGATTTTTGTGTGTTTAGACGCTAATGATTATAAACTTGTCATCGACAATGATTGACCATCTGTGTGTGTGTGTGTGTGTCACCGTGGACTCTGATTTACATCAGTACTTCCCTGCTCGCACACACTGTGCACTCCATTATCCCCTAGCAGAGTGTGTGTGTCAGCACTTCAGGTGGCACATTAAGGTGATGTGTTTAATCATCAGTTCAGCCACTGGTCTGCCCTCTTCACACGCAGATGTAACAGTGTGCCTCGAGATGTTTTGGTAGCAGACCAGTCAGCTCGCAGGCGAGGGCCAGGTGTGTGTGTTTGACGGCGTGAGTGCGTTGGATGGGAAGTGAGCATTTAAAGGCAAGGGTTTGCAGATTCTCAGGGTGTGTATCATCTTCTTCTCGAATTTATGGTGTTTGCAAAGTTCCAGCGTCAGATGAGAATCTAATCGCAGAGGCGGACAGGTGTGTGTGGCCGCAGGGAACCTTTCGACAGTGCCGCGAACGCTCAGGATGTCTAACTCCACCATCAGCTTCTACGCCGTGTCGCAGTCTTTCAGCTTCTCAGACATCATTGTCATTGCGACCTACTTTTTTCTCAACCTCGCTGTTGGCATCTGGGTAAGAATCGAGAGGGGTGAATGAATTTGTGCCGTTCTACTAATTCAGCTCGTTTTGGATGTTTGTGCAAACCAGTTTGTGTGTCAGTCCTCATGCAGGGTGAGCAGAAACACACTGAGTGGATATTTCTTGGCTGGGAGGGACATGGCCTGGTTGCCGGTGAGTCCATCTGATATTAACTGTGGAAATAAAGGGTGATCTAACAGTGAAGGCTCTGTGACCCTGCAATAAGTTGATTTTAGTTTTCACAGATGGTAAAAGTGATAGATGTAGGCTACAGTGACTTTAGGAGATACACAACGTTCTGGGTAAATTTGTTCTGTGAATCAAGCATCAGTAAACAATTGTATGGTCAGTACAGGCACTTAAAAGGGTGGATTTTTTTGTGTGTGTGTGTGGGGGGGGGGATAGAAAAATGTAGAAATCAATTCTCCTTGTTTTACTAAAATTCAGCCACACCTTAAAGCTAAAACTGTAAAGCCAAGCTGGGTTCTGAACTTAAGAGAGACTTGGTAGACTTATGCTTAACGGAAACTGTTTCTCATTAAGTAAATAACAACGTGATGATAAACACCGACGTTAATGAGGCTACATCAGAAATGAAAGAAGACAAATGCTGCAGTTGCAGGTTTAAAAAAAGAAAAGTTTTGAACCCTTTGAGAAGATTTTCCATCATTATGAGCAAAAGCATCAAGTCCACAAACTCTGCATGTAGGTCAGGTGTTTGCAGCAGAGTATTTCTGCAGTATTTCAGTAAAACCTCCAAACCTTTTCTTCTGTCTTGCACAGATTGGATCGTCTCTCTTTGCCAGTTCAGAGGGCTCGGGTCTGTTCATCGGTCTGGCAGGGACGGGAGCTGCCGGAGGCATCGCTGTCACCGGCTTTGAATGGAATGTGAGAAACACAAAACCGCAGTCAGAGAAACATGCGTGCTCATCAAAACAATATGAGATGGTGTTCTGTATCTGTTAATGGTGATTAAATGCATTGTGGCATGGAATGAAGCAGAACAAGCCTGCTAATCCTTCGACAACTTGTCTCTTTTGTGGTGTGCTGACTAGACAAAAGGAGGGGGGGGGCATATGACATTTGCAGCTAAATAAAAATAACATCACTTGCAATTACCTGCTTTACAACAGAAAGTTTACCTAATATGAACATGGCTTCTAGACCACAAAAGTTTGTAATTTCAGTGTCTTCCTTTCTTCAGCTGTAACAGGCAGCTTACAGCAGGGGGCAGCAGCAGCATAGCTGTCCTATGTGGACGCAGAGCATGCGTCTTAAATAAAGAGACCTGTGAGCTGACTCTGGCGGATTTCTCATTAAACACTTCTGTTTTCTATCTGTCCCCTTCTCCCCAGGCCACCTATGCGTTGCTTGCTCTAGCCTGGGTATTTGTGCCTGTCTACATCTCCTCAGGGGTTGGTCGGCACACACAAACACACACATGCACACACACTCACACAGGTACCCATCTGCTTGTTCAGGCTTGTTCTGCAGGTACATTTTGGTGCCAGGAGGCTTTTCCCCAACAAGGATTCCCCCGCCTCGTAAATTCCCCAGCAGGGTGTTACTGCACAGCACTCACACACACACACACACACACACACACACATTAGTACTCATTTTATTGTTTGTTGGAACATATATTTAAAAAAATAAAGTCATAAATACAGTTGTGAACATACTAAACTTCTTCATAGTCGGTATCTTGAATCCATCCAGAGTTTTCTTAAGGAAATAGGTCACTGGACATAACTCACATTTTTTCCTCCCCTTTGGGCCACATCCAGCCACATCAGGGGTGTCAAACATAAGGTACAGGGACCAGAACTGGTCGGGAAAGATGTCCCACTGGACAGCTTTGGAAAATGTTATGGCATGCATAGATTTTGACCTGTGAGCTGTGTTCTCATAAGTTTTACAGCTTTTCCTACTGATCCCACAACCTTCCACAGAAATGTCTGTTTCTGCAGTAGTTAAAAAAAAGACAGTATATGCATTTTTATAATTACAGTCTGGCCAATGGACTACCAGCACCTTTTCTGTAATTTGCACATTTATCACATAGTTTCACTGGTCAGACCCACTGCAGATCAAAGTGAGCTGTGTATGGTCAGTGGTATAAATAGACTTTGACCTTATTGATCTACCCGTCCTTTTTTGTACAAGTCATTCAGGGTTTTTTCCCCACACATCTTGTGATGCAATTTCACAGAAAAGGGAAGCTCGCAGCTGAGAGCAAACATCAGTAGTGTTTACTTCCTGTCACATGCACAAATGTTTTCTCCCAGACAGCTCACACTTTCTTCTACCAACTGATATTGCATTATCACTGAAAAATAATCAAAATGGCTATATGGGACTATCAGGCCTCCTCTGTATAGCTGTGGTACGTTGAAGATGTTGAACTGTCTTGTGTCCAGATCGTGACCATGCCAGAGTATCTGGGACGCCGTTTTGGAGGAGAGAGGATCAGAACCTACCTGGCTGTCCTCTCGCTGATGTTGTCCGTCTTCACAAAGATTTCAGTACGACTATGTGGCACAAACACACCTACATACAACCCCATCTGATTGCACAAGTGTCTCAGATGTGAGATCATTTGTTTGCCAACGTCGCTGACTGGCATGTTTCTCTCACCAGACTGACCTGTACTCTGGAGCCTTGTTTGTTCAGGTGTGTCTCGGATGGAACCTGTACCTGTCTACCGTCCTCATGCTGGTGGTCACTGCGCTCTACACCATTGCAGGTAGATGTGAAAGTGCATTACAGTTCACGTTTTTTGCTTTTTTTAAAGAATTTCAACAATTCTGATGAACGTTAATTCTAATATTTTATTATGCAAACAGAAACAGAGACAAACACGTTGCATATTTTGGAACGTAAGACTCGGTACTTGTTTGTTTCTTTGCGCAAATAAAAAGCCATCTCTGTTTTTCAGGTGGTCTCGCTGCTGTCATTTACACAGACACCCTCCAGACGTTTATCATGCTCGTTGGTGCAATTATCCTAACAGTTACTGGTATGTGCTGTTTCATAAACACAAAATATTGCAGGGCCAATTTGCAGAATCAATATCAATCAATAATCGTTCAACAGCAGCAATAAATGTGCATCCACAGCTTTCAATGAGATTGGTGGCTACAGCCAGCTGGCCGAGCGGTACAGCAGAGCGATACCCAGTAAAATTATTCCCAACAGTACCTGCCACCTGCCACGGCAGGACGCCATGCACCTGTTCAGAGACGCCGTCACCGGAGACCTTCCCTGGCCCGGGATGACTCTGGGGCTCACCATACTGGCCACATGGTACTGGTGTACCGACCAGGTAAGTCTGGAAGGACGAAATTCAAATACTCGAGGTGTGAGGATCGATCTATATACTGGTATTGGTATCAGATTGATACTTTATTTGTATCTTCTGAGTACAGAATTGTTGTTTTCGTTCAAACACACATGAAAAATGTCCGAGCCTTTTTGTGTTGACTGACATTATTCAGGCAGGTGTTTTTGTTCCTCATAGATCCCTTGTGAGTTCCACAAAGATGCATTTGTGAAATGCCATTGTCGTGTTTGCTGAGGAATTTTACATTCTTTTTGTTGTCTTTTTAGTCTTGGGGGGGGGCCTGTCAAAGACTTGTCATGAAGTCACTTCATGCTGGTTCCCAGTTGTGCTCAAAGATCTGTATTCTAAAGCACATTTCTTTTACAAACCTCAGTGTGTTTGGCTCTATTTATCCTTTCTAGCACGCTGACTAATCTCAAGATTGAGGCACTGAAAAGCATGTCTATACTAAGATGCTGCTGTCATGCTTCACTGTTCCTGCACTTCATCATAAGAAAAGCATTAGACAGGCGCTGAGCAGTGGAGACTGCAAGTTTTTTTTCAACGCACTGCCATGACCTCCACGTTTCCGTTGAGTAACTAAATTATCAAGGTCTACACACATTGCAAAGGATGTTTCTGATGACAGTTTGGTCTGCCATAGCACAGGGTCTGAACTTATAATACTAAATAGCTTTTTAAAGAAATCTGAGAACGTGTTTATCTGTTTTAACTATGGGTTATGGAGGACTTTGAAGCTGGACTATGTTTGGAGAGCCGCTCCAAGAAGCTGAATTCCATTCTGGTCGATATTAAGTTGATCTCTTTATGAGCCACAACAGTCCCAGTTTCTTATGCAGCACTTTGGAAAAAAGTTAGGCAAACTAGACTCTGTTCCGCTAGTGTCACTGCATCCTCAAACCTCTGCAAAAAGAATAAAGGATGGGCTCTGCCGTGTTGCCCAGATGCTGATTACCAGCCAAACCTCAGCTCCAGGCTACAAAAATCCCTTCAGAAAGCAAGAAGCTACAATTATATTTTTCTGCAAACCAGGAAGCAAAATCAAACATACCTAAAAATACCTCGGAGTGTTCATTCACAGTCATTTAGCGTGGAATATTTCCTGATCAGCTGTCTGGGTTGTCATGCGCTGTATGCTTGAGATAATATCTTTCATTTTTAGTAATGATATGCTTCCTTCAAATATTAAGATGTTTGTACAATACAGTGGGATTTTTAAATGAACTAATGCTTTGTGTGAGCTGGTTGAAACAAAACAATGGGACAAATTTAACTGTCTTTTTATTTACAACATTACAACTTCTGGTCCCATGTTTTTCACACATGTTCATACATCTGCAAAGGTAATCAGGGAAGTCTGCGAGTGATTTCAAAGCAACACCCTCTCACCATCAGCAACCAGTCCCCATGATATCAACACTAGAGCCTAGAGCCTGCATGTCACAGATACATTGCACGGTGCGTGACATGGGCTGGCTGAAGAGAATCACAGCTGACCAAACACAGTACCATATCTTAAAAAAAAACCCAGATCACTCATAAATCAGTTGCAAGAGTGGATGCTATCTTGTTTTGCATGTTGTAAACACAAACACCTGATATGTTATTATCAGCGTTTATTTCCGCACAAACACGTCAGCAAACTTTCTTTTTGGTCAGGCACTCATTTGAAACCACCCAGAGATATCTGAGTAAAGCAGATCTTGTAAGCTTTGCGTCGCAGTTTCCAAACAAAAATAAGATAAAAAAAAAACCAACACATCCCACAATGAAGAATTAATGTCCTCACGTTCCCCGACTGGCCCACAGATCTACGTGACAGGCTTATTATTCTGAGGTGCTTTCTTCTGCGGTGCTCCTCCTCGTGCTCTTAAGTGTTTAAAAGTGTTAATTTTTGAGAAAGAAACTCCAAGTAATCCCGTCTGGTTGGCTGGTGGCTGTGGTGACGTGTGGGCTGCCTTCTTGTAGCCGGGACTGTGTCGTCTCGGTGACCGCCCGGAGCGGGTCTCTACGTGCAGCTGGGCCGAGTCAGGCTGGAGCATTTGGCCCTGCCAGTAGCGGTAACCTCCTATCACTGGGCCAGCTGCTCGGGTGGGCCGATGATAACTTCCTGGTTTGGCGATAACTACTGTTGGTCCTCTCGCTCTTGCATCACGACCCGGAGATCTAGAGGTCCGAAACAACTAAGCAGAAAGAGCACAGAGAGGGGATTAAAACTCTAAATCCTCCATTATTCTCTAAGGAGTACCTCGGGGGTCAATTCAGGGGCCACTGCTATTCATTATCCATGTTTTTCTGTACTGTTAACAGGAAATGTTACTATTTATTATATTCATTTATATCTTATTACACCATATGTTACCTGATTATGTCTTTTGGAAATATTTTTAAGCGCCTTTCTGTGTGTGTAGGTTATCGTACAAAGGTCCCTATCTGCTAAGAACATGAGTCATGTGAAAGGAGCCTCCATCTTTGCTGCCTATCTAAAGATGTTGTCCTTTATCTTCATCATCCTCCCTGGCATGATCAGTCGAGCTCTCTACCCCGGTGAGTGTACACGAGCGTGGGTGCTCAGTCACTCATGCGCACAGACACGCAAATACCTTTTAAATTGGAGGGGAAAAATATGTCATGTAAGCATGTACCGCAAGCAGGTAGGGACTTGCTTTTGGTACCACTGATGAGGCACACCTATTTTGACATGGGTTACATAAATGTGTGCTTTTCCAGTAAGTGCTGCATACTTTTGGACAGCAATCACAATTTGTGGGAATTTCAGCAGTGGTTTTGTCAGTGATTACTCATTACGCATTAAAAACGTTTAAAAGATTAAGCATTGTGTCATCTAGGGCAGAAACTTCCCTAATGGATTAAGCTGTTTTGTTTTTTGTTTTTTTTAATTAAATGATTACACAACTCATCAATATAGCCTGACACTGACATCTTTGTAAAAGAAGATATTCAATATACATTATGCAGTAAAACAGTGTGTTCTTGTTTTTAAAAAGCTTAAAAATGTCACTTAAACTCTTGGCAACACTTTATAGAAACACAAATACATTTACTTACTGTTAAAAAATGAAGAGATAATAATTCATGTTTATTGTAAAGTGGTAAATTGTGTTTATAAGGCTTCATTTTAAGTGGTAATAAATATTGAGAAGTGAAGCTATAAACATTAAATGGATATCTGTCACAAAGCAGTTTGTATTGCTTGCTTTAAACCGTGCCTAAACAGGCGTGCGGGTTGGCAACAGTGTAAATCCCAAGACCGGAGAGGAGAGAAGTGCACGTCCTGTTTCACTCACGGCTTAGTTTTGTTTTCATTGGCTGTTTGGTTTTCTTTTGGCACTAAGATCTACTTAAAAAAGGAGATTTAAAAAAATAAAAGTTTGAGTCAAAATACACTCCTCTCTGAAAGACTACACCACAGGGTAACTGAGGTTTTAAACTGTGACTTTGAAAGGTTCTTCCTGAGCTTTCATATGTGACGAATGTGAAGTGAGTCCAGCAACAACACCTTGTGTGTACATCTAACAAAATGTGACTTGACGCTATGAGAATGAGTAATGAACCTTCTGTTACAAACTCACTAAAGCTTTATACTACTTGGTAATCATGAACAAATAGAACTTTTTTATATACTGATGCATGGTTCGGGTGAAAGAGAGGGTCAAAAGGTCAGCGACTCGATCCCTGACTCCTCATGCCTGCATGCATTCTTGGGCAAGATAGTGAACCCCAAATGACCTCTAATGCATCCTTCTGTGTGTGTGTGTATGCATTGACAAAGTGCTGTATGGATGTGTGTGTGTGATTTCCCATTTTTTGATTATTTTAGCATCACTCGAGCAGTAATACCGAGTGCTCACCTGTCCTATGTGCCTGTGTGGGGAGAGGTGCTCCTGTCTGCGCAGCTGCTGTGATTGGCGGATGAGAGCAGCACTGTCCTCTGATTGGTTGGGCTCTCGCAAGTCCAGCATGCTCTGTGAGAAGCGGGCCATCATGTTGAAACCGTCTCCTTGGCGTTGTCCTCGGCCGGACCCTGTTGTCACTCCATTGGTTAGCTGGTTATTGGGCTCTGGCTGCGCGCAATCGTAAAACTCCTCATCCGATGCTGTGGAGTTACTCGAGGGTTCGTCATTGACCGCTCGGTCACAGTTGACCTTGGTGCTGTCTTGGCTGCCATTATCGTTGCTCCCAGAGTCCTGGTCATTGTCCTTTGACGTTAAGCGGCCACGTATCAGGGTCACCTCTTTCTGGGATCTCTTTTTCTTAAATGAGCCTTCTAGACTCTCCAGCTGGTCCATTTTTACCAGAGTGACCTGCGCTTCACCGGGTTTCTCTGAGGAGGCAGGTTCTATGAGCAGCTGCAGGGTGCGGCGTTTAGGAACAGGAGGTGCTACAGGTTGTGTCTGTGGAGGTTCTGCAGCATTTTCTGTTGGCTGTGAATCAGCAGTAACACTAGATGGTGAAGTGGACGTCTGTGCAGCTGGTGTGTGTGCATCCTGTGCTGGGGGTGTGTTGGGCTGTTTAGGGGAATCAGTTTGGTCTGTGTTGGGAGCTGCGGGGGATGGGAGCTGTTTGTTAGTTTGACTCACAGGAGTCGAAGGCTTCAGGCATGTATTTGCAGAGGGGGTGTCAGCTGATCCTGCAGCTTTTGCAGGATGTGAAGCAGGCTGCTCAGTCTGTGCTGGCTGTGAAAGTGGTGAGCTGAAGCGTATAGCCTGACTAACCTCAAACCTCTCCGACCTCTGCAAGTGAACCTGATTGGCCCGCTTATCATCCCTGATGTTGATGAAGCCAATCACGTCACTTGGTGGGTCTGGCTCAGGCCAGGTGGGCAGGTACGGAATCAGGTATGCTTTCTCCAGATTGGCTAATCCTGGATGTATGGGTGGCTCTTCAATAACGTCCTTCAGCCGTGCTTTCATCATCTTTAGCCCAGTGGGATTCTGGGAGTTTGAGTTCTTGTTGCTGGAGTTCTGGTCAGATGAAGTGGGACTTATGTGGGTCCCCGTGGTGACAAGAGCGTATTTGGGGTTGATGAGCTTCCTGGCAACAGAAGCCGGCACAGGTGCAGGAGCCGCCTGAGGGAGAGGGTCAGGTACCGGCTCGTCTGTCATAGGAACCTTGTTGAGTGACACGCCTCTGGACGTGAGGTAAAGCTCCCGAAACTGGAGGTCAAAGGTCTCCACTGCCTGTCCTGTGATCACAGTGATGAGATTACGGTCCAAACGAGACGAGGACCAGGTAAAACTGGAAAAACACAGAAATGGAGAGAAGTCTCAGAAGGGACTTCAATGTTTTCTTTGCACATTTTTTTCCTACCAGTTCTATTCCGGTCCTGTTTATCACATCTAAACTCCTTCTTCCAAGTCACAGCTCCCACTGAGAAAACAGAAATCTGAGATTCTAATAGTTTAATCATTATAACACGCTTTTGTACTCTGATGTAATGCACCACATTTTGGTCTTTGATCACATTGCATTAGTACTCCTCCTCAAATTCCTTCTAACAGATCCAGTCTTACATTTCACCGACATTTCAGTAAATAAGCAACTATAAATGACAGTAAACGGTAAGGATAACACACCTAAAAAGCAAAACAAGCAGAGCAATGGACTTTAATATACTTCCCTTACACTCTGTCAACATCTTTAGCCTGACACTGAGTCTCCATTTACTCTGTAATTTCAGCAGGTGAGGGGAATCAATTTTCCCCAACTGATCATTAGAGACCAACAAATCAGTCTGAATCAAACTATTTTAAGCCAACACTGATCCGCTTGTTCCTGAAAACACAATTCACTAGCCATGCCTCACAATGCATAACAACAAGCTGACAATAAAAAAACCATTCGATTCATGTCACAATTCCGGGGGAATCAGGGACCTGGATCGAGTGGATTCAGAGGTCAGGACCCTGACAGGTGAGAAACCATGATAACCATCAATAATGAGAAAAGCTGGGGTACGGTGGCTTTAAGCAGTTGTCCACATTGATGCTACGCTTTTTGTGTTATGTTAGCAAACACAGAACGGCAATCACTCTCCGTGTAGCTCTGTTTAGCTCTTCACCACAGATGGTGGTCAAGACTCCAGCATGTTCACCAGTTAGTTACTAGCTCCGTGTGTCTTGTATGGAATGCATGTGTATGACTGATTTATTAAGGCCATTTCCTGCAAGCAGCTGCATGCTGCAGCAGGAAGGACTGGGTAAGACTAAACCGGACCAGTAAACCTGCAGGTCAGAAAACCAAAACAGCGAGCTGAAAGGCCCTAAAGCCCTCCACAGCGCTATACAAATACAGGCCATTTACCATTTACCACAGAGGTCCACAGGAAATGCATGGATGCCTGTTTATTTTTGAGTGGAAAAAGTCATGCAATTAACGGCTAATTTAAAATATGTAATTGTGCAGATTTAGAGACACAAATGAACGCTGCTCACCTGTAGGAGCCAGAGATGGCTCTGTCTCCATCTACCAGAAGAAACTTCTGGCTCAGAGATCCACGCACCTTCTGCGCCGATCGCGTAAAGAACTCCACGCCTCCGCAACAGCGTACGCGCAGGTTCTGCACATGCACACATACATAAAGGGTTAGTGCTTGGTAACCAAAGCCTCTAGAGGGTTTAGTGCTGATGGATGGAAGGGTTTCAGTGAACAAAGGGCAAAATAAAGGAAACAAGAGAATGGAGAGGAAGAAAAGAATGAGTTTCCTTGTTACTCAAGAGCCGGTGCTCAGCTTTAATACCTCCATAGTCTCCCACTGGGTGCCTCTACAGGTTAGAGCATGGACTTTCTATCTACGTACGTGCATGCCTGTTTGACACACCCTGTGGTGTTTGTGTTCGGCTCTGTGATAAGGGTGTGGTTGACAGGCTGAGCGTTACCTCGTAAGTAAACGCTGTGTGTGAAATCTCACAGGGGACATTAACAACGGGAGTGATGGCGCTCACAATATCGGAAGAGATGTCAGATAAAAAAGAGACTGGCAATGCGGTAAATGCCGTGAGGAAGAAATAAGGAGAAGTGAAAGAAAAACATGTTACAGAAAGTAAAAAGTCTGTGTGGTTTTATTGCCTGCAGCATAGACAGGAATTTAACTGGCGTTGTTCTGGCCTCCAGTCCAAAAAAATCCCCCGTGAAACTCTTAAGTATTTTCTGTTACTGCCTAGACCAGTTCAACTCAACTTAAGAGAGCCAGAGAATAACAAAGAAAACCAAGCTATTGCAAACTAGCTGCAGCATGCACCTCACAAATACCCGCAGGCACAAACCTGGCAACCTACATCAATCATGGGCCGCCCAAAAATTTTCCTTTGTATAGTGACAATATAATTTCAAAAAGGTGTCTCTAATAACAGATGTTTTTTCCAATCCTCCCCCTCCCCATTACTGTATACTTATTGGGCGTACCCTTCTTTATAACTAGCCCAGCAAAACAACATCCATCCGTGCATGCTGGCAATACAAACCTTTAGGTGTCCACGGTGCATATCAGCTCTGCCACACATGGAAAGAAAGCAGGGCACCGCAGCCATGTCGATGATTATGTACACAGGAATCTTGCGTTTGTAGGCCGCATCCATCAGGTCTCGAAAGATATCCACATCTGTAAACACATCCATCACCACAGCTATCACCTAAAAAAAACAGCACACATACACATAGAGGAAAACCACAAATGTTAGTGTTAGTGCTTCCTGGTCTCTGAGGGTGGGTTCTATTTCAGCTGCTTTTATCAGCGATATTCAATCCCCAAAGGAAGCTGGGAACACAAGAAATTTGAGCATAATATTCCTGTAGTTTAGAGCCTGTTAGGAACAGAGACTATTTTTTGGCAGAGAGGTGATAAAATGTGAAGTGGATGGACACTATGTGCTGCGCAACGCTGCAACAGTAGAGACAGGCGGCTCTCTTTATGTGATCCAGCTTAAAGATTACGTTTAAAACAGCAGCATTAGGTAGACTTTGGAAAATGATGATAAGTCTTGAAATTTTTCATGTTTTTTTGTATTACATTTATTGTGAAAATACATGTGCATTGAAAACCAGCCTTCACTTTGGCACTAAGGCTGATTCATTTAAGCCTCAATGTTTCTTTTGTCGCTCAGGTGCAAAGCTGGACTACTGCATGAACATGTACCAGCATTTATGGATATGAGAGAAAGACTGCTGGCATGTGACAAACTCTTTTCTGTTGTCGTGTCAAGACAGGACTTGTTTTATTTAAACAATATTAATAACAACATAAAACGATCATGCAAACAGCAACAGCCAACAAATAAATACATTGATAGAATTGTTATGTCATGATATTGTCATTAACAATTAATCTGCTGATTATGATCTGTTGTCATTTCAGTCACTTGATTTTGTGAAAAAGTGTGAAAAGTGTTTTTCAGATGAGTCACAACAGTAATTTCCTGTCAGACCAGTAACTGATTACTTGCCTAATCATTTTAACGCCAAGCAAAATCATATTTATTAAGTGCACAAAGTGATTTTTCTTCTTTGCTTTAATGTGATGGTGAAGCATTGTTTTGAAACTTGCGGGTTTGTGGCAGTGAACTTCTTTATACATTCACTGACTGGAGAAATATTGAAAACAATTATTGACTGTGGTGCATTCACTGACAGCACAGAAAATGCACTCCAGTTTTTGATGAGTTGTTAATGCGGTTTCCTGTTGCTGCGTTGACTCAGTGCTGTGGTGCGTTTCAGGTCTCTCTATTATGCTGCTCGTCATGAATTTGTACTCAGCTAAGATGTGTTTTGTCCCCCACATTTTGGCTACATGAATGGAGGAGTCAAATAAAAACACCTTGCGATAAAATCCAAGCATCAAATCGCGAATATTAACATAATTCAACAAAAAGAGGTGAAAAGACAATAAGCTAACTGGTTAATTCTCGTCAGTGTGAAGCGTTTCTGTTTTGGTGGAGAACCTCTAAACTCCATCTTCTTCTCTGCCTACCTTCTGGGCTGACGCAATGCTCTTCCGCACCACTTCCTTGATGTGCGTGTGCCCCTCGGTTGGAGGCTGTGTGTGCACGGTCACGCGCGTGACCCCTCGGTATGAGATGGCCTCGGGCCAGCCTAGGTCCAGCTCTGCCACCGAGCCCTCAGACCGGTCTGGCCAGTACTCGAGAGACACCTCACCGTCTCCGGTCTCTTCCCAGGGCCCCGGAGTTGTGTTTCCTGGGCCTGGCGTCCCGGGTTTCTGGAGATGCTCGTACCCGGGCCTGTATGCTTCCGCCGTGTGTACAATCCGCTCCAACTCCGGTTCCGAGAGGAACTCCCGGACGCCATGCTTGCTGATGTATTCCGTGAACGCGTCGCGGCCCTCGACGACGAGTGCCTCGAGGGCCAGCCGTTGGTCCTCGCTGTAGAAAAACTCTGGTTTGCTCTCGCTCACGCGCCAGTTGACGTGGTGATCGTCTAGACACTGGACCTGAGATAGCGCCATGACCCCAGTAAACCCGCCGGTCAGTAAATAGTTAAACACTGAAACCACTCTGACCCAATTTCCACTCGTCCGTCCGGGGGTTCAAACATGGAAGAAGTGCGATCTGTCATTACGGTACATTCCGGGTCCGCGTGACCGGGGACAAACCAGACCAGTGGCAGATATTTTCATCTGAGGCAAATAAACCGCTATCAGTTCCTCAACCCGGGCAGGCTCCAGCTCAGCCCTGCTCTCGGGTTACAGCTATCTCTCTCTCTCAGGTGTGGTTGGAACAAAGCCCCCCTCCTCCACGCCCAGCGCCACGCCTTACACCTGACAGGAGCCGGAAAACTGCGGAAAGCTGCGGCCCGGCTCGGCTGCTCCTCCAGCCTCGGGGCCCGGCAGACACGGAGTGAGACGAACAGCTGTCTGGGTGGATGAGTGTGTGTCTGCCAGTGAGTCAGTCTAAAGCGGAACACACTCACTCGACACAAAGAAAGAAGTCACTAGTCCTTCGTTAAAACTTTTAAACTGTGTGTGACTCAGTCTGACTGAGGCGCTGACGACTCACTTTTCCACTTTTTATTTTTTTGTTGTTGTTGTGTCGGAAGGCGAGCCTGAAGCCAGAGGTGTACAGATGTTCAAAGAAAGGAAACTTCCCGGAAAGAACACAAAGCAGTCTTCGCTAACGTGGCGGTACCGAGCCTCTTTACTTTAAAGTGTCGCTGCAGTCACACGAAGCTCGTCCAGGTCCAGCAGACTGTGTGCGGCGAGTGTCTGACCCTGGAATCCGGCAACGGAAGCTCGGTGTCCGGGGGCAGAGAGGCGGAGTGTCCGGTAGTTGGTTAGGAAAGAGAGGCATTAAACTCCACCCTCCTGCCAGCACACAGGGGGAAATCTTGTTCTTCACCCCAAGTTAGAACCCTTACGAAAGCTAACCCATGAGGCTATAACAAGTTATACAATATGTGATGTTATTATTTGTTCATATATATATATGTATATATGTATATATATATATATGTATATAT